TTTTTCGGGGCGCCTGGGTGGCGCAGTCGGTTAAGTGTCCGACTTCAGCCAGGTCACGATCTCGCGGTCCGTGAGTTCGAGCCCCGCGTCAGGCTCTGGGCTGGTGGCTCAGAGCCTGCAGCCTGTTTCCGATTCTGTGTCTTCCTCTCTCTGCCCCTCCCCCGTTCATGCTCTGTCTCTCTCTGTCCCAAAAATAAATAAACGTTGAAAAAAAAAATTAAAAAAAAAAAAATCACAAATTTTTCTCTTGGCTAGAATTTTGATAGTACCAGAAATCACATGATGATCAGAGGTCCTGATTGGTGTTTGATGATATCACAAAAATTCTGAGACGTGCAAGCAGGATCACACTGTGACTTGTGCCCCACACCCAACTAACTCAACTCCTAAACAGCCAGCATAGCAAGAAACCCTAGTCACGAGTCTATACCCTCCACTCCTTCAAGACAGAACTGTGTGCTGTAAAAGTCCATGCACACAGTTGGGTCATACAAAAGGGGTCCTTGATTAAAAGGCTGGGAGTCACTGGCCTACCTCTAAAGGCTATTGGTTCTTGGATAGAAGTTAGGGGTTGGTGTAAAGGGGTATATACTGACAGGGTTCCTTCCAGTAATGAGGTGAGAGATATTTCTCACCACAGATTAAGGAACTCTCTAGGTCCGAGTAAAAACAACGTAAGGAGCACCTGAGTGGCTCAGTCGGTCAAGCTTCTGACGCTTGATTTGGGCTCAGGTCATGATCTCATGGTTCATGAGTTCGAGCCCCGTGTCAGGCTCTGTGCTGGTGGTTCAGATCTTGCTTGGGTTCTCTCTCTCCCTTTCTGTCCCTCTCCCCTACTCTCTCTCTCGCTCTCTGAAAATAAATAAACAACAAAAAACCACATTATAAGATGATTAATAAGAATTTTAGCCCTCCCATATATGAACGTACTTAAATATTTTTACCACCTGTCATAGAGTATTAAAATGAATGCATTTAAGAGAAAGGAGGGTTCCCAAGGGAGGGGTGAAGGAAATGAACACTCTTCATCACCACTTCCTTTATGAGATTTGCCACCTGGAGTAGCAGTAACTAGCTGGAGAGCACAGACTTTGGAGTCAGCAGATGAGGGTTTGAATCTCAGTTCTGCCACTATGAGCGGAGTAGTGCTGGGCACACAGTTGCCTAGTATCTTTGAGCTTTGGTTTCCAGTTAAAAAATGTAGGTAACACCTCCCTCCACAAAGAGTGTGGTATTGCTCAGAGAGCACCGGATTACAAATCAAGAACCCTTTCCTTCTGATCCCAGTTCAGACGTTCACTTGAAGTGCATCCTCGGGTAACTTGACTCACTCCTCCAAGCTTTAGTCTTCTTCCTTATGAGTAAATAACACCACTTGTCCTTCCAATCACATGGGCTGGTTTTGAGGATAGGAGCAACGGAAAAAAAATATCTTACGGATGATAAAGCAAATACACTAATGCAAATTTACTATCAACAGAAACAAAACTTAGGCAATATTGTTTTTGCTCAGATTAAGTTATCATTTCTGAACCAAATCTGCAAAGAATTATCTTGTTTCTTTGCCTGCTGAAAGAGGAGAAACGTAACAGGTTTTTATTTCAGTTACTGAACAGGCGCTGTGGTTGTATGTGAGCCACTCTGTTTGTAGGGTGCCGACTGTAACCATCCTCAGCTCCAGCCTGTCGGGATCACCCGTCCCCTGTGGTGGTTACTGTTTCTGGGTTGCTCTTCAGAGATTGCAGTTAGTATTCAAGGTTTTGTTTCAATAGTTGCAAGGTAACCTTGGCAGCTGCTCGCAGCCATCTTGACATCAGCAGGGAAGAGTGAAACCAGAGCTGAGAAAAATCACAGAGAAAAAGCCACTGCTCTGACGATATCACAATACTCTGGACTAAATCATGTCCAAAGCTAGTGTGCTTCTGGGCTTTTTTGTTAGGTGAGGCAATAAATTTTGAGGTTTTTTTTTTTTTCCTGTTCTTGCAAGTAAAATAATCTTAAGAAATACACCATATAACATCAAGCAAGTTTCATTAACCCTCTCAACTTCACTATCCTGATCTACAATGGGGGGTAAAATAATACCTATCACACACAGGGCTGCAGTGAAGTTCATCAGTGCTTGAAGAATGTTTAGCACGGTGCTTGGTACAAAGTAAGCCCTCAATAAATTGTGGCTATTTGTATTATGTTTGGCGCTCTACACATTATGCTAAATGCTTTCAGTACAACACCTTCCTTAAGCATCATGTCAACCTCACGACAATCTTTTTTCTTATATAATTTTTTTTAAGTGTTCCTTTATTTCTGAGAGAGAGAGAGGCAGAGTGTGAGCAGGCGAGGGGCAGAGAGAGGGAGACACAGAATCCGAAGCAGGCTCCAGGCTCTGAGCTGTCAGCACAAAGCTTGACGAAGGGCTTGGCTCCACGAACCGTGGGATCATGACCTGAGCCAAAGTCGGATGCTTAACTGACTGAGCCACCCAGGCACCCCTACAAGGTAGGATTTCTTATCCCCATTTTACAAATGAAAAGAAAAATGAGGGTTAGAGACTTGAAGTGACTTGTCCAGGGTCCTATGGCTACAAAGAGGCAGAGATTTCATAACATATAACTGTTTCTCCTTTTTTATTTTTTTCATCATCCTTTGCCCCGGTGATGTGAAGTGTACATCATCAGTAAAATACCAATTGGATACGTATGTCAAAAATCATTAGTTACCAGAGACATAGCAGTAAATACACATATCTTTTTGAATTTAGTTTTAGAGGACACCCTTACAATGACCCGGATTACAGGGGAGTTTAGATTGAATTTGTGCCTTGTATTTACTGGCATAATGCTCCTAACAACTGAGAAACTAACCAATGACACCTAAATCCTATAGGCACATGAACAGCCCTGTCAGTATGGTATGCAACTAAATGCAGAGCTTAGAGGTCTTTTCCATATAGAACTTAGAGCATATGTATACATATTACATCCAACTATTTAATTTCTCCTAAAACCCTGAACCGAAATGTACCATTTCTTTTGTATTTTGATCCCATGGGTTAAAAAAATGTCTTTTTCACAGGCACTATAAAGGAATTCTCTTGATACTTTCTCTGTTCCTTCCGACATGTCAACTTATATATGTTTCCTAGGAAGTCCGAACAGTACAATTAGATGTGATAACGGGATGGAAGGAAATATCGACTAGGGCCTCCACGACACTATTTTCTCAGGAAATATACAGGGAAATCTGACGGCGTGTCTTACTGTTTACCTCTAGGTGACATTCTCCAAACGTCTTTACACGTTATGGAATGCCTCAGACAGGACTGCAATGACTACAACAGTTAATCTGAACCTCCTCCTTACAAATGTTATCTTGTGTGCAGATCAAGAAAGTCCTTCCCACTCATCTGTAGTAAGCCCTGGAAAATATAAGCAGCAGCCCCTGAAATTCTCCTCATAACTAGGTACATATCTTGTCTAAGGAGAGGTGTCAGGACACATCCCAAATGTGAAGTCACGGGCTTTCAGAGGCAGCGGGGAGAGGCTCCACTGTCCTAAATTGCCTCACCCCCTGCCTCTTCGTGTACATTTTTTGATGGAAAGGTGTGAGAGGAGTGCCTAGAAAGTCATCCTGCAGGTAGGTGATCCTGATTTTATAATTAGGAGATTTTTACCTATACTGAAGCCCTATATGAGGATGCTAAGACACAACCGAGGATGGCATTTGTTCCCTCTGATAGCATAGTTTTAGATATCTGAGAGCTGTGGAGACAGACTGATCTGCAGCCAGACAGATGTAGCTCTGTTCTTTCTAGGTGAGAGTCCCTGGGTGTACCACATAACCTCCCCAAGCCTGCTTCTCACTGTAAAATGAGGCCACTACAACCTACCTCATGGGGTTTTGGAATAAATGGGTCCAGCTCATAGCAGACAGTCAATAAAAGATCGTTTATTTCCCCTGCAATTCTCTAAGAAACCATTTAATGTAATGTGTCTTTAGAAAAATGTCCCTACCAGGAAGAGAAACTCAACATCACTAGACTGCATCAGTTTGGGAGTAGAAATAATTTTATACACATAATAATACACTTTAGAACCCTATTTCCAGATTTCCAGAATATACAGTAATTTCTGAGTACCGCTCGGGCTGTGCCTAGTGCTTCTTCTCCCACACCTCCTTCCAACCTTTTACTGATGTCTGCTGCCCAGGGAGGTCAATTTGTGGGTGGCACCTTCTCCCACATCCTTGGTGGTACCCTCGATGACAACAGGGTGGTTGCCTTCTCTGAGAACCCCCAAGACTCCCAAATTGTAATGTCGTGAAGGAGCCAAGATGACACAGCTTTGTTAGGACTTCACAACATTAGCAGCACACTGTGTCTGCAAGGAAATGACCCTACCTCCTTGTTGTGTTTCTCACTGTCACTTGGACCACAAAGAGCACTCCTTTTGCCTATGAAAACAGCTTCTTCAGCTTCTGCCTAGACAGTCCTTTTTCCCCTCAGAGTCCATAAGAGAAGACCAGTAAGTTCTCTATCCCAAGGTCCCCTGTTCCACATAATCCTATCCAAGTGCAAATCAACTTCTGTAAACAGTGCTTCAGACTGATGGTCAGTTTCCCAGTTCACCATAACCACCCAGACTTTGAGCTCCAGTCTAGGTTCAGGTGGAACTCTCTCTACAACAAGAATTACTGCACATTCTGACTTCTCATCCACTAGAGGTCTGCCTCCAAATCAAAACCAAGTATGAGACAGAGTAAAACATAATACAAATTTATTCTGTGACATTTTCTTCATTGAAGATATTTTAAAATAGATTAAAACACATCAATATTTCATGAAAATACCTAGGAGAAGAAGTTAGGTAATACCTGTAATATACATGATTTGACCCTGAATATACAATTTTTGTATTTCAAACATCATTTTTTTAAAAGGAACATAAAAATGGTAAGAATTGCTGCATTCTTCATATATCCCATGTCTCATAAATTTTAATTCAACTGCCAGTTCTTTTCTCAACTATATATGTTAAGGGTATTTGCTTCTGATTTTGAATGGTAGGAGTATCCATTTTCTGTTTCTTAGCAGTGATATTTAGGTCTTCTTTTTCCGATTCTTCAAGAAAATGCTTCATGCTGAGTTTGAACAGTAATCGAGGGTCTGGTCCAGAAAGTGGTGGGCAATTACATATCTCTCTAATTTTAAGGGCCTACAAATGAAGAATACAATACTCTGTGTATATATGTGTGTGTGTGTGTGTGTACATATATATATATATATATATATACACACACACACACTATATATATATATATACATATATATACACACATATATAAATTTATATATACATATAAATATATACATAAATTATTCCAGTAATTCCTACTATGCTGTATGCAAAACAGTGAAATATAAGAATACATTCTATATTTTTGGAATAAAAAGTATCTTAATTACAACATGTGAAAGAGGACCATAGAGACATTCCTGGTAAATAGTTACATTTTTATTATTTGTTTATACAATAATATATTTGAAAAAAATATCTGCAGTGACTGTCTGATGTCCTATTAGGGATAAATGAGAGGTATCGCTATGATTTCAGTCACACTAGAGTTGACTGTGAGAACACCATTCAGATTTAAAAAGATCTGAAGACTCTAAGACTTTCTCAAGGAAAGGAAAACAAGAGGATATAGAAATATGAACATACTGAAGAAAGATACATGTAACTAGGACAGTCTGAGGGAGAATTGATGCTAATAACCTACAAGATTAAGCAGATCAAAATCATGACAATTTTTAATTCCCGGAAAAACAAAATACTACAGGAAAAGTAATCACAGAATGATGACATGGTTCAGTTGTGACTGGTGTTTACAGTTTTAAAAACAATGAATCTTGATCTACCCCAAATCACAAACAAACAACTGGAAGAGGGAGAGCTGGATACATGTGGGTGCATGCACAGGTGTATCAGTGATAAAGGAGCCCTTCGTTCTCATCCTCTACAGGGAAAAGTAAATTGGAAATGCTTAAACTGGAAAGTTAGGAAGTAGCAATATGACTATGTGATGGTAGACATAGTGGGAAATACCAAAAGAATTATTTAAGAGCTGGAAATGGTTACCCTTAAAACTGAGGGCAGGTAGGGGGATTGGAGCTTTAAATAACTAGACTTGAAGATCTATGTGATTCTTTACAGTGGTTTCATAAAGGACTTTAAGACATAAAAACTAAAATAGTGAATTAAAAAAAAATTTTTTTTAATGTTTATTTTTTAAGAGAGAGAGAGAGAGAGAGAGAGAGAGAACACGAGCAGGGGAGGGGCAGAGAGAGAGGGAGACACAGAATCCGAAGCAGGCTCCAGGCTCTGAGCTGTCAGCACAGAGTCCGACACCAGGCTCAAACCCATGAACCGTGAGATAATGACCTGAACAGAAGTTGGGCGCTTAACCGACTAAGCCACCCAGGTGCCCCTAAAATAGTGAATTTTTAAAGCAAAAACATTTTATATCTAATGGGGGTTAAAAGAAAGATATTTAGGGGAGGGAGCTAGTTTAGTTTCTTATTACTTATAACTTTAATTTTTTTTCATGTTTATTTATTTTTGAGAAAAAGAGAGACACAGCGTGAGCAGGGGCTGGAGGTGCAGAGAGAAAGAGAAAGAGACACACACAGAATCCAAAGCAGGTTCCATGCTCTGAGCTGTCAGCACAGAGCCCGATGTGGGGCTCGAACCCAGGAACCAAGAGATCATGACCTGAGTTGAAGTCAGACACTTAACCAACTGAGCCACCCAGGCACCCCACTTTTAACTTTTTTATAGTGATGGATGTTAAGGGATGTAAGTAAAGCTGGGAAGGAAACAATCAATGTTTGTGGGGATAGTAAAATTTTAGAAAGATTAGCCTACCAAGGTCTCACTGTTAAATACTGATGGGGGCAGAGAGGAGGAGGGGTAGCTGGGGAGAAGACCTGAAGGCTGAAGGACAAGAGGGAAGAGGTACGTGGGTACCTGGAAAAAGAGCATTTCAAGTACCAGCAGCAGGGATGCAAGGACCAGAGATGGGAGTGTGCCTGGACTGTTCTAGAACAGTAAGGAAGCTAGCACAGCTGGAGCAGAGCAGGGCATGGGCAAGAGCAGATTATGTAGGCTCTCACAGGTCACAGGGTTTTAGGTTTTACTATGAGTGGGGCTGCCTCTGCTATTTGTGGGGTCCATGGCAAGAATATAAACACTCAGATACCATATGTTTAAATATCTAAAAGCAGTAAGTCAAGCTAATAAACTACTGTAGAACTGTAGAAAACATTTTCTATTCTCCCACTTTGAAAAATACACATTCAAAATGACCCTGAAGGCAGGTACAAAACTAGAATTCTTGAATTTTGGAATGTGTAAGGTTGCAGGGAACCTACCCACTTCCTGTCACTGGCCTGCTGTCCACTCCCTTCTCCTATCCCTGGCTTCCTGGGCACTATGAGGAGCTTTGTGTGCATGTGTCCAAGGGAAGAGATCCACACAGGCCCAGAAGCAGGCTCAAAAGTGTTTGGGCAAGGAATTCCATTATCCCAAATACCCACAGTGCCACATGGTAGGGGCATAGGTTCTTAGATGGGAATATTCCTTTAAGTTCCAAAGGAGAGAAGGGCATGCAACCAGAGGAAAACCAGAAAAAGGTCTTCTAAATGGGTAATGCCAGGGCAGGAGCTTAGATCTAGGAACACTTCTGATTCTGAAGAAGGCTATGGTTTACCAAAATAAACAAAGAAGAAAAAGCATTGAAGTGAAATTCTGTGGTGACAGGGGCCTCGTCTGAATTTTCTTTCTATCTCACAATCATCTACTGAGCATTAAAAAAATGTTCATTAAACTTAACTGAAAAATCAAGAAAACGTTTCACAACTATAGCACTGAAATAAACAGAAAGTCAGACCCTCAGCAAAATGGTGACCTACTGCCCAAAGCAGAACACCTTTGAGAGTGTAAGATGCTATTAAAACTCAACTGAGACATCAGGCACAAAATGAGCCTGCCCTGGCAAAATGGGGACACGCAGTCCACTCTTGCTTTAACTCCTTTACAGCCATGCTGATGTCCTTTTCCAAGTGAGAAGCCGCTATGTTATGGTTGCTACATCACACGCCTGAGACCTTCACTGGTGTCAGTAAAGGGGCAAGTATGGAGCCTAGCAAGTAACAGCTGGTAAAGGTGAGTTTAGCAATGAGAGATGCAAAGCAGCAAAGGGAAAAGCAGAATGCCATCTAATCTTTTATATTCGGTAAAAGCTTTTCTCTTTCCCCTAAGTCCTTTTAATTTTTTTTTTTCCAACGTTTATTTATTTTTGGGACAGAGAGAGACAGAGCATGAACGGGGGAGGGGCAGAGAGAGAGGGAGACACAGAATCGGAAATAGGCTCCAGGCTCTGAGCCATCAGCCCAGAGCCCGATGAGGGGCTCGAACTCACGGACAGCGAGATTGTGACCTGGCTGAAGTCGGATGCTTAACCGACTGCGCCACCCAGGCGCCCCTCCCCTAAGTCCTTTTATTCAGTATTTTTACATAGTTCTAAATGGCCAATATTTAGAACACCACACTGAATGATCTGCTAGGTATACATCAGTCAGGATACATAGTCATGATCCCTGCCCTCACACAATTTACTTTGCATTTCCCCATCACTGGGCATTTGAATTGTTTCCACAGTTTCATTTTGTTTTACTTGGCTTTAATAAATGACCCTATGAAAATCTTTGCTTAAAAAAAATGTTATAACTTCCATTTGGGTTTACTTGAAGTATACCTGCCAAAAGAATGATGTGAACAGAGTATACTTTTAGTTTATACAGGACCAGACTGCTTTCTATCAGAAAGGCTTTACCAACTTATAATGTCTTCAGCATACAGGCCTATTATCTAAGTTATTCATAATCAGTATAACATAAGATTTCATGATTTTTAACTAGATAATAACCATATAATTCCAAAATTAGAAACCTTAGAAATCATCAGTTGCAGTTTACAGATTGAGGAAATTTAAACCCCAAAGAGGTTAAGTGACTGGCAGGGAACAAAAAATTGCTTGGCAAATGTTTATAGCAGCTTTATTCATAATTGGCAAACCTTGGAGCAGCCAAATGCCCTTCAGTAGGTGAATGGATAAGTAATCTGTGTTACATCCAGACAGTGGAATATTATTAAGCACTAAGAAGAAATGATCTATCAAGCCATGAGAACACATGAAGGAACGTTAAATGCATATTAAGTGAAAAAAAAATCTATCTAAAAAGGCTACATAGCATATGATTCTGACTATATACATAACATTTTGGAAAAGGCAAACAATGAAGACACTAAAAAGATCCACGGTTGTTAGGGCTGAGCAAGGAGAGAAGGACAAATTGGCAGAATATTTGTGGGGCAACGAAACTACTCTATGTCATACTGTACTGGTGAATACAAGTCACTATACATTTGTCAAAACCCACAGAATGTACACTAAGAGTGAACCCTAATATAAACTATGGACTCTGGGTCATAAAGATGGGTCAGTGTATATTCACCTTCTGTAATAAATGTACCACTCTGGCACAGGACTTTGATAGTGGGGGAGACTGAGCAAAGGCAAGGGGTATATGGGGAATCTCTCCTGTACCTTCCATGAAATTTTGCTGTGAACCTAAAACTGCTCTTAAAAATAGTCTAATTTAAAAAAAAAATTTGGGAAGAGGCACAAAAGTAAGAAGACTTAGAAAAAAAAAAAAGGGATGAGAATCTACTTCTGTTGTTTTGTTTTTAATCCTCTTACACTACATGCTTTTGTACTACATTTTTTGCACCACATTGTTTCTTGAGTAAATCTTTTACTGAATAAACGTACTTTTGAGATGTCTGACCTACGTTTAATTGCTAGAAAAACTATATATTCTTCATAAAGGTATTCTATGAATCTTTCTACATGTGTGAATCCTCTCCTCCAACTATCGATCAAGCAAAATCCTATTAGACCATAGACATTTCTATCAAATCTTCATCTATTTTGCACAGCAAGATTTTATCACATATGTTGGTAAAATATTTTTATTTTCTACTGTCCTTTCCACATTTATTTTATTACATTTCAGGGTGTCAACATCTTTTATTTTTATAAATTCAAATCTATCTTATTAAATATAGCTTCATCTCCTTAAAAGTCAGCAATA